TCTGCTGCTGCACATCAGCCTGAAACGCACCCTGAAAAACAGTCTCAATACACAGTGATGAGACTAGTAGGGATTGATTCTTTTGCTTTCCAAAATGTATAAATCAATACTCTGTATATATACCATAATGACTGCAGTGATATTAATGTAATGTCCACTAAAACCAACTACCTTTAAGCAGGTATGGAGCATATTTTCTCATTAATTGTACTGCACTGTATTGGGGCTGGATGGAACTTTGTTAGATTAGAGAAGCTTGAGTAAAACATATCAGTTAACATGTAGATTAGAGCAAATTTCATATCACGATATAATTGCCAAAAACAGAAAATAAACAATGATTTGAACAGCTGTTAAATAAAAATAGCTGAAATATTAGTATTTTTCCATTTGCATTAATTGATTACAATATTCTAACAATTAAAACGTTTTGTAATTTAATGTATATCTTCTGATCTTGTGTATTTTAACGGATGATATGTGTTTAATAGCAATAGTACCGACAACACTAAGTACTAAACTTGACAGAAGAGTAAGGAGCAGCTGAGAGTCAAAGCATTGTGGCATGTGCTGTAAATGTGCTAAAGGGCATAAAACACACCCTGGCCTTTAGACAAAAAGTGTATTCTGCCTTCATCTATGATCGCTTCACTGCAGGAACTGTTTTAACTAAAAAATAACTCTGTTTTAACTCCTGGCCAGGAAATATACAGCATGCAAACACGTTTTATAGAAATATATTGATGTGCTATACAGAGAAAAGGGACTCTGAGGTTGTTTAGGCTGCAGTAGAAACAACACTGGGATTATTTTCAAAATATTAACCCTTTCTTTCATTGGAGGTTTTCCCCTTAATCATCTGGTTACAGTTGTCTATTTTGGAGCTCATTTTCAATTAAATAATAATAAAAAAACTACATCCGGTTTTAACTCTATGGAAATATAGCTCTGGAAAAGCACAGTGTGCAACTTAAACCCAAAAGCTTTCATATATATGTTTTCTGTTAAACTTTAAAAAATTAAATTTTTCCATGATTAGAAATAGCTCCATGATTTTAGTTACTAAAATAAATAATTCCTTCATCATTCCTACCTGTGGTCATCAATCTCTATAACGCCTTCCTCGAGTGATTCAGAACCCCCACCCCCCGTAATTGACATTTATGCACTCTTTTGGCACGCCACGTATCACTTTAGTTGGATTTTGTTTTTACATATGCATAGATATACGTACATATATACATATATACAGAAGAGCTATATGTGTATATATTTTATCTCTTTTTATTCCTATTTTTTATCTTTATTATATTGTGTTCTTCCATCAACACCTTTGTTTCTAGATGTTGGAGATCGGCCTGTTTTCCAGTGTGGTCCTGTTTCTCTGACCGTGACTAACTGGATGTGCTCTCTTCATCCTCTGACATGGGAGCTGGCTCGGAGCTCGTCTGCCTGGCTGTGTGTTTCCTGGACGGGGCCGCCTTTTACAGCTGCTTTTTCTATGTCTGCTTCTGTCTCCTTGAACCCCAGTGGGCCTCAGCAGATGGCCGCTCACACTGAGCCTGGTTCTGCTGGAGGTTTCTTCCTGTTCAAAGGGAGTTTTTCCTCTCCACTGTCGCTACAAGCATGCTTAGTGTGAGGGATTGTATTTGAGTCAATGAGTCGATGCAATCAACTGGTTTTCCTTAGACAGAAAACTTTGTATCAATTTGACTGGATGATCTGGTTGAACTGTAAAGTGCCTTGAGATGACATGTGTTGTGAATTTGGCGCTATATAAATAAACTGAATTGAATTGAATAGTTGGATGTGTGTATATATACATATAAAACTGTAACTGGGGCGTGTAAAAAAAGTAATTTCCCTCTGGGATTATTAAAGTATTTCTGATTTTGATTCTGATTCTGATATTCTGGTATTACTTCCTTACATTGTGTTATAAAAAGCATATAATATAGTTAGTGAACTGTCATATGATCCCTGATAAAGGTGTATTTTCACACAATCACTTTGGATCACATGAGTCCAGTGATCAGTTTACAGAGAACCTCGTCAAAACCTTTTTTAAATCAGATGAGAGGATATAGTGCTGGACACAGGCGATGTGTTTTGGCCTTAAACTGCTGTACTGGGTTCTTAATTGATCTCTTCAAGATCAAATAAGAACCCAGTACAGCAGTAAGAACCTTTAGTCGGATAGCCAGTCCTACTGTAGGAAGGTTTTGTACCCTTGATAGATTAATACATAAAAGGCCATTGATTTTTTTCAATTTCTTTAAGTTGGGTTGTGATGTGTTGCTGTTTTAGTTCTTTTAATTTATATCATTTCATTGTCGTATTTAAGTGATTGATTGAGCTACTAATCAGGTCTGTGTGTGGTTAGCGAAGCTTAACCCAAAAACTGTGGTTAATTACAGCTAATTGATGATTTAAGGAGAGACATTCTTTAACACTGAGTCCCGTTAACTTTTCCCTTAAGAATTGCATTGAAATTTAAAAAAAAGCATTTTGTATTTACTCTCCTTCTAAAATCAGAATTATTTTCACAAACAGTACGATAAGAAGCAAATACTGGCCTTTAAATCACTAGTTTAGTTGCAAAATGCCTCCTTAGTTATTTATTGTTTGGGAGAATTTTACTGGATTGACCTCTGCATTATTGAAACAAGTGAGAATGAGAAAATGTCTCCCTGCTCTTCCAAATGAGGCAGTCTAGACCTGCATATGTAAGTGCATGCGTCTACCCGGCTGTTAAAGAGGACAGCTTAGCAAGATGTCGTCTATTATGGGATTTGTTAGTGGAAAGGGCAAGAGAGCAATAAGGTAAAAGGCAGAATGTACCTAAGTGATGAAGTGTCAGGGCTGAAGGACCTCTACTTGAGGTTAAGAGTAATATTTAAAGACTGAGGTTTGCCTCAGTGCAACTGAAGCTGCCTCTAACTAATTTGCTTATTATATGATGGGAAATTGCTGACAAGTACAACAATGATTCAGACTGTATAGAGCAGGGACGTCTTCTATTGTCACATCCCCATTTTGTGGTGTGCTTGACCAACACCAAGCAGCTGAAAAGGTAGGGTCTGAAAGGGTTCATATTAAGAAGAATATGCATGTTTAAATTAAAACATGTACTGGGTGTTCTTTTTTCTTCAACATTTTACAAACCCTTTGAAAATACCTTTAAATTATATCAATAATCTTAAACTGTGTCAAACCTCTTTAGGATCCTTCTTCTGGTATGGCTATTGGATTTACGGCAATGGCAATTGTTCAAAACAACAGCTGCCTGGAAGCCGCTTCAAAAAGCAGGAAAATAGAAACCATGCAGACATTAATGCAGGAACGGCGTCACAAACATACTATAGCATCAGTAAAACTAAGCCTTACGTTTATGTAAATACCGGAAAAAAGCAGCTAGTGATACTTCTTTAAAAGGGAAACAAATGCTTGCAAATGTCATTGAAATTTGGCAATACAGTTTGCACGTTTTCAGAAATGTAAGTTTAATTCAATTCTTCAAACTCATATTAGATTTTAACTGTCGTGTCTAACAGGTTTCTTGACCCTCAACAGATCAGTTACTGTTAGAATGCTTGTCTAACTCACAGACCATGTCAGCTCCAACTTCCAACTTTTGGGAAACATTTTTTCCCAAAAGTGCTCTCTAATTTAATTAATCTTTTAAAATACCTAGAAAAATTACCATACACTATATACCTTTCTTTTTCTTTTTTTCTGACAGAGCTGTGCAGCATTATTTGACCCTCTAACTTACACCACAATATGCAACACAGCAAGCAGATCAATACACTATCATTCACAGCAACATCACCACATCTCCTCCCTAAATTGCCTCAGAAGGCTTCAGGCCCAAACCAAAACCCTCTCTCACATAAATCAAGTAAAATCCAGAGAACTCAGCAGGTCCCTGAGCATACTGATCACCCAAGACTCATTCCCCCGCCATAGTTCTCCTGGGCTGTCTCAGTCGCAGCACTGGGGAACAGATTCTGCCATTTAGTCCCGTCTGGTGGAGAATGGAAAAATGCAGACACATGCCGCAATAATTTAATATCTCTAGGTACATATATGCGATATGAGATGTGGTGAAGGTTTTAGAAAAATCCAGATTTCCCAAGAGGTGCAGCTTCCCATAGATTTCAGAACCTTAGAGAGATGGCTTATAAACGTGACAAAATGTTGCCCAATCATCAAACACATTCTGGACTACAGCACAGTTTTTATGATCCTTTATGAACATTACAAATGTTGCAAGACTACTTTGCACGCCAGTATTATAGAGAGATGTTACAACTGACAAGAATACATAACATACACTATTTATTTTAAAACATAAATCATCTCAGCACCCGCCACCATCTAAAGCAAAACTCAGTCACATACTGATTGTGTAAATCAATGCTATACCTATGAACTTGGAAACAAACATAATTTTTAATTTAATTTCTATCCATGTTTTGTTTTGTTGTTGTTTTTTTGTGCAAAAAAAGGTTGGCATGGCATGAAGAGAATACAGCGAAAAGAAAAATGTGCATAAGTGCAGGGAGTGGTGAAAACAAAGTATGAGGGATTTGAAGGGCATAGAGGGGGTTATTCAGTAAGCCTCTCTGTTTCCATGTTTCTGTGGAATCTCTAGCACATAAAACATACATGGTTGCAACCAATGCTGTAGTAAATGTCTGTGTGTTTTCCTTGAGTTGAGAAAAACTCTTCACACCAGAAAACAAGGGCAAGATGACATTGGTTTCTGTCTAACCAATGAAATAAAACAGGTAGTCCAGGTTCATGGTGATGATTGCAAATTACACATACGGGTGTCAAAGGGTGAGCTAACCAGCTGTATCATGTATCATATCATATAGCGCTTAAACTTAGGTCACAGTTACTTTCTTGTTATTGTAGAGAATGAATATAACTAGTACAACATGGATATAACATCAAACAAACAGCTGCTGCAATAACAAGAGAATTCACCTTACCAGGTCTCATCATTTTTGAACTCTAGTTCTCCATAGGTGTCTTCAAAGTCCTCTCCTCCTCCTTTGGCGAGTCCCTCCACTGTGCGATAAGGCACAATGACAGTTCCCCTTGCTCCAGAAGTCCTCAGAACTTTCACTTCCATAATGCCAATGCTCTCACTAACATGAGCTGAGCTACTCTCAAATGTAAAGATGCCTGAATGATCATCATCCAGTATGGTGACTGTAGCCACAGTGGGAAATCCTAGAATGGCCTTTGGGTATGGAAGACTGTTGGCAGACAACACCTCATCTTCAGTCTCCAGGACCCGTAGATTATTGAGTCGCACGAAGAAGTGTTCGTCCTCTTCAAAGATGTCATCGTCTATAATGCCAATGCTTATTTCTTTGATGATTTCCCCTGGTTTGAATACCACTGTTCCCTCTGTGAACTCATAGTCAGCTCCAGCGTTAGCCGAACCATCTTCTGTTTTATAATCCACGTAGATCGTCTTGTTGATATCGCCACCCTTTCGAGTGACAGTCAAGATGGCAGCACCACAGTTCTCAAGGCACTGGTAGGCAGCAGGCTCAAAAGCGATTCGAGACACATATTCCTCGGGCTCCTCCACGTGCACCTCTTGAACACTGGCACTCTTCTTTGCTTGTTCTGCAACATGTTTCTTCAAAATATTCCCAGCACCTGTCATCATTCGAGTGGCCTGGATACGATAGAAGGCACGGCTCTTTTGCTGGTGTGAGAGAGCGTAGTAGTTGGCCATCTCAACTAACTGATCGAGATCTTTCTCCGGGTGCTTCTGCTTTAGGTCCTTTAAGATTCTAATCATATCCCGACGGGATTCATCTACCTCTTTGTTCTCAATCAAGCCAATCAAATTGCTTGTTGCACCTCCATCCATAAAGTGAGAGTTGACCATCTTGCCGTCCATCTCAATTCCCTTGGAGCGTTCAGTTTCAGTCTCAATAATGACACCCCTGTGCTTGTCAGTGCGATATTTCTTATGCATAAACTTGTAGAAGAGCAGTCGTCTGTCTGCAACCCATGCAAGTAGGACACATATGGGAAAAAAGGATAGTGTGACTAGGCCTTCCCAGACCTGGACTACATTAGGAGAAATAACAGCCAAGATCATGTAGAGCCAGATGTAGGCAAAGATACTCCAGCCTGCTGTGATAAAGAAAACTCTTAGATGCTTGACTTTGCGTACCTCACCTTGGGGAATCACAGATACGCAGAGGCCAATGATGACAAACATATTAAAGGCTGCGCTGCCAACAATTGTTGATGGACCCAGCTCACCTGATTCAAACTCATGTCCACAAACTTCAATCACAGAGAGCAGAATTTCAGGGGCAGAAGAGCCTAAGGCCATGAGAGTAAGGTTAGAAACTGTTTCATTCCAAACTCGAATTGTAGTTGTGGTTGTTTCCCCATTTGGCCTTTTTATGACAATTTCCCTTTCTTGGGATGTGATGACCTCAATGGCTGCCATGAAACGATCAGCGATGATTGAAACTCCAAGAAACATATAGATCATGGCCACAAAATAGACAATGACCCGAGCAATCTTGTCTCCCATAGACGGATCCTCAGGATACCAAATGGGGAGGATGATTCCTGTTTTACACTTTGAGGTGCCAGAGCAGGTAGCATTGTTAGGGCTGAGCAAAGGGCTCGGAGTAGTCCGGGCCTCAGAACACAGGAAAGCTACAGACACAGAGACCAGCCCCAACCAGAGGCAGGCTGATGTCCCCGGCTTCAGAGGCCTTGAACCCTCCATGCACCCTTCTTCGTCTTAAGGGCCCTTGCAACACTTTAGGTTCCCCCTGGGATCCAGCACTTGGCTGTGCTGTCTTCCACCCCCACACCTGCCAAAGACAAAAAACAAAAACAAATAAGCAATAGTTATATTGTAGCTTTTTAACAAAAATAAATGCTTTTGGCTTCAAGATAGTAAAAAGTGTCAAACAAGAACAACTACAGTGAACTAAACTCATATAAAAATACTGTATTAGTCCAGTAGGTCATAATGAATAAAGCAAACATTGTTGAAATGTTGTGTGTGTTTATCATCAGTCTCTCTGGCTCAATATTTTGTAGAATAGTCTCTTCTTTTGTAAACAGTTGCAAGATCTATCTTCTCCAACATGGCATCTTTTCACTTAATTTCTGTTATTTTCTGTGACTTTTTTAATTTAGCTGATAGAGTCTGTGAACTCCATGTGTCAATTATTACCACAGAGTTTCCTTCCTTAGATTTTGGTGAACACATAACAGGATTTGATTTAAACAATTCTATTGCAAGAAAAAGTTTTACTTCACTGTTGCTCTCTACTTAGCTCCATCCACCTTCCCATAAATTCACATCAGCTTCTATGTTGTTCCATAGAAAACCATTTCAATTCAGTTTATCTATATAGCACCAATTCACAGGTGTGTTGAGGATGAAAAAAAGAGTTTTGCACAAAAGTTATGTTTTAATATTGCTCTGAGCTGAACAGAGTGTCTTCTTCCTGTTTGGCATCTTATCCAAGTACATGATCTACATGATTTAAACCTCGCATGGGCTGTAAATCTCTGCAGCTCATCCGGAGTAACAACTAGTCTCTTGGCTGCTTCCTTGGTCCGTTTATACGGAAAGCAAAGTCTTGGTAGGTTTGAATCCCTGTCACACTTCTTCCCATTTCAAGTCATGACTTGACTTGCACACGGTGCATTGTTCAAGTTATGAGCAGCTATACGTGCTCTGAGAACAACGTATACACAGGCGGACCCTGCTGAGTGATAACATAATTTCTATATGACTTTTGCAATTGTTACACAGCAAAAAATGATCTAGAAATAATTCAACATTTCATATATTAAGTGTATTTAACCTTAATTTGAATAGGCAAATGGAATGAGTATATTTACTTTTAAAATAAGATAATTAGATAATAGGCACTTGAAATAAGATATTGCAATAGTTTTTTTCTTAATTTAAATGTAAATTGTCTTGTTCCATTGGCAAAGTGTCTCACATACCTCCTTAATTCAGGAACAAATGCACTTATTTAAGAAAAATAACTTATTTAGATTTTAATGTTTTCCTGCGTAACAATGGATTTCATTTAGGGGTGGACAAGTTGAAGGGGCTCAATACACGTGCATGCCACTTCTCAGGTTTTTATCTGTTAAGATAATTTAGGTATGTATAATTTTCTTTCAATTTTCCATTTATGTTCTACATTGGTAGAACAAAGTTAAGTGGGTTTTTTTAATAAATTCTTGCTTAAATTTTACCCCTGTCGTAATAAATTGTGAAAATGCTGAAGGGGTGTGAATATTTTTGCAATTCAGTCTATATTTTAATAATGGAAATTTCAATTTCAACTTGAATTTAATATTGAATTTAACGCATGCTACAGCAGAGTAAAAGGGATACGCAAGAAGACACACGCTCCAACACATTGTCCTAAACTGTATTTTTATGAGACCTTTATGCTGTCAGTGAGGTGAAAAAATTGGATTTTGAATCGGATCAATTCTAAATATTTTTTATTGTTCTTTTAAGGTCAAGTTTTACCAATAAAGTTTATTTTAGTTTAGTGTAGACATGTGCATGCAGTGGTGTAGAATTAAACATGATTGTTTGAACTTTCTGCTGTGGTTCTCGATGGTGAAACAGAATAACTCCATCAGCAGCGTTCCTTAATGTCCAAGTTGTCAGAGTGCAGCTCCAAGAGAAAAGCATCAGAAACACGAAGGCTAAACCACGAACATTGTATGAAACATTAACACATATGCAAGACAACGCAAGAATACTGCAGGCAATGTCCAAATTCATAAAACCTGAAGGAAAGCAAGCCTCTAATTCACTTCTTAAATCCTAAGGGGGAAAGATTTCCGTCTTCTTTTACCGCTAACAGCTGAGGACAGCAGCAGGGGAAGAGTAATCGACACTTGACCGCCCTGAACCTAATATGCATTCTAACAGCTGGGATTTACTGCAAATGTTCTTGCCTCAGCTACGCCCGATTATTTAGTGTTTCAGGACAGTCAGAAAATTTATTCACCCTGCACAACATATTTGGAACCTTGGCTGTTTAGCCTGAGCTTAAAAAGTCACTTTAGAGACATATGCTACTGCAGTCTGTCTTTAAATCAGTCGATTTGATCTTTTCTTTTTCTTTTATTAACTTAAGGATATAGTGGAGGATTTTTGTGATTTTTTTATAAAACCCGCCCTCTCCGATTTAAAAAAAAATGCACATGCACAACCCTGTACCCGCTCCCAAGAGGGAACGCCTATTAGATGTGTGCGAGAGCGTGCACAAGCCCATTTCTTCTCGTGCACGCTCTGTTTAAAAGTTGCTCTTCGCATCCCTCATACAAGCTTACTTTCCAAAAGAAGATTTACAATTTTTCCACCATGTCAGATTAACCACCGATAAGTGAAGATGGGGACGAGCACGTAAGACAGCCGTACGTAAACATATCACCAGAATGATTGATAATTAGGAGGACCACTTCCAGTATACGTTAAAGTATTTTCCTTTGCTTTTGTTACTTTTTAAAGTTTTGTATTCTTGTGTTCTGATTCCAGGCTGAAGGATAGATGACCTCTGGGGCTGAAAACACGTGGAGCGTGCGCATAGAGGGAGAAACCTTGCTGTAAAAAGCATCCTTTAAATGATCTATTATTCTATAAGTTGTGTTTGTTACGGTTATTATTTAATATAGCTTTTAGCTTTTGTATAACCAACCTCATACTAATATATCATATACAGCAATATCCAACACATACATATATCCAAATACTATCAAAATGTTTATTTCCTTAGCTCAACTTATATTAACTTAAATATATGATTAATACAGAAATGTAGTCTTAAAGTGAAATATGTGTAACATCTACTCAAAGTGTTTGTGTTTCTACAATGTCTGCATGCAATATGACCCAAGCAGCATTTTCTACAGTTCATGCTCTGTGGGATGATCGGAGGCCTTTCACCTTCAAAGATGTTTATTAAGCTGTTTATGACTAATTTTCCGGGTGGATGAATCAGGTTTCTTCTGAGGGCATTTGGCTGAATTGGGTTTAATTTATAAATATCAACATAAAAGAGGCTGTTTACAAATGCAGTTGAAATCTTTTTTTATTTTACCTTATCTTGGAAAGGCGGTGCTGAATTTTCCGTCCACTTTCTATTTATGCGCTACGTTATGTTGACTGAAATACACGGAAGCCTGTATCTGTGGCGTTACAAACTGTGAAAAAGTTCAAGGCTTATAAATGTTTGCACGGTAGATAATGGAACTACCTGATTGAATTATAATAAATAACATTAATAGGGAGATGGTTTAGGTATGTGATATTATAAATAGAGGTATGATTAACTCTCATTCATGGAAATACCTGATAAAACCACAAATAGAGGTGTGAATAACAAAGTATTGAGTTATATATTTAAAATAATCTAAAATTTGGCAACCGTCTATGAGAAATGAAATATAGACCAGTTATTAAATTATAAAACAACTCATATAAAGTTTTGAGTTTAATTGTTTGTAGATAAAGACAGTTACATCACAGAGTCTCTTTTAGGAGGAAAGAATCGCGCTCATTAATTTGTTTTCGTTTTTGTTCAATTTTAAAGGGGCAGGAAAGATGGATGAGAATAAATATATTTAAATGTGAGATAAAAATTGTTATAACACATTTCAATAAACAGAGCAGGAGGGGAGAAACAGAATGACAGAAATTGCAGCAGATCCTGGAGGCAGGAAACTTGAATTTTACTGAATCAGCAGAGCCACCTCTGTGGACTGCAGCCAGCAGAATAAAATCTGCTAAAATATAATCAGTGGGAGACTCAACAAGGGTTTGCACAAACTAAAACAACACGGGAGGAACTGTGTGAGAGAGATCTGACTTAATTAAAGGCAAGTTTGAATTTCATTTAATAGTTTTGTTGTTGTTTTTAAACTGTATCGACCCTCCTAGGCTCTTTTCAGTGAGAAAAAAAAAAAGTGAGGCTTTTAGGCTTTCTAGCATTTTAACCATAGACCTGCTGATCAATCTGCTGTTCATGATGTTTTTCAGTGGAAGATGGTTACATGTAGTAGACCTGTAGAGGCTGTGAAGCATTCAGAGCTCTAGGAAAGAAACAATAATATGATCCATAGTAGGGATAGAAAGGATTAACATCACCAGTTAACTGTCAGTGATACATTAAAGCAAAGATTAATAAACTGCTTCTTTAATGATATGCCTATCAATCTGTTTCTTTAGCAGAGTCCAGTTCTTTTCATTTGTTTGTCTTTGCAAGACAAAAAAATCACAATAACAGCATTGAGGACAAAGCTAATAGCTTGAAAAGCCATGGAGAGATAGATCTCAAAACTCCTGTTGACATCTTTCACAGCTATTGCTATAAACCAAAATCAGTACCTAATGTGTGCGTTTTAGCACAGAGGGAGAGTGATGATGAAAGAGAAAACTAAAATGATGGAATCAGACCAAAAGAGGCAAACGATCAACTTCATCTATTAAATCTAAACAGAGCCGCTTAGTCTGTCAGCAATCACTTCCTGTGTATTTGGATGAAAATCCTACTTTTTTTTTATTCTACCTTTAAATGAAGTGCTTAGCAAATGACGAGTACACTCTGTCCATGAATATGTGGAATTTAAAAGAATATGTTCAGCCTGCTCTAATCCAACACTTGTATACAAAATCCAACCAGTTCCCTAATTAGTAAACAGCATTTTATTGTAATTTATTTTTTCTTAAGACAAGTGGATCTGAAAATAACATCTGATAAAGTAAGCAGCAGGCAGACAAGCAATGTGGCGTATAGGGGATAAACAAAACTCAAGAATCAGT